CACCGAAAGTTATTTAATTGTAAATCCTGTTCGCGTGCGTCAGTCTTTCGGCCCGACAAAGACTGTAATAATTTTTATTAATAAAATCTATTAAAATTATTCGCCGATTTCGTCATATGATTTTTCCTAGTAGTTGAAACAATTAGAAAAAGCTTAGGTTTTAATCCTATTATAGCTAGGGGATTAAGTGGATTTGGAGTAAAGTCGCTTACACTTGAAACTTATCGTGTGTCACAAGGCACGTGACTTAAGGTGAGTTCAACTCTGCTTGATCGAAGACAACTAAGTTAAGTTAGCCGACGTTAAGGCGAATACACGTATTATCATAAGTGTTAACGGAGCGGCGGTTTGCTCTGCATCGTGGGATTTTGTTCTTAAATAAATTTCTCATTTTGCAGGTTTATCCCCCCGTTACACAACATATATTAACACTATGTAATACTATATATTACACACCAATCAATAATACGTACATATTAATAATATAGTCTATCAATACCCATTACATTAATACTCGTGCCAATCAATATATATTAATCAATGTGTATTAATTTTGTGAAGTTATTCACTATATTATTAAGATTTTATCAACTCGAGAAAAGCGAAAAGATAAAGCCTGAGAAACCACACTCTGCTACCAGTTGATAGGTGACAACTCGCGCGAGGCGAGTTTGTCCTGTACGAAGGCCTTTTTAACAGCCGAGCGGCCTTAGACTCGGGCGACAGTCAGGCTTTCGGGCACCCCGGCCCGTTCGCGCGTCAATAATGAAATCCCTGTTAATTATAATCCGACACTCGATATCGCAATTGTAAAATAATTAATTGAACGTTTATAATGATTTTCGCTTGTTTATTAAAAGAAAAATGTAATAGCGATTTTCTTTAATATAATGGGGAAGCATATGGATATACTTATAGGCGTTTATATTTATAATATTTATTCTAGTCTCTTTCATAACATAAATAAGTTAAGCAGAATAGATATATATATATATATATATATAAATTCTCAGACGCGTAATTTTCACCTCGCGATGTCCATTATTTTTTAGGTTACATAAAAAGTGTTACTCACTTTGTATTAATATTGTAAATATAAATCGGTCCAAAATATTATTTGCTTCGTGATGTGGCCAATCACTTTTTTTTGAATCTGGTCAGATTAACTGGTCCAATATATTTTTTTATCCAATAGGGTGGCAACGCACAAGAAAATGATAATTCCTATGATTTTCGTTTACACAAAATTATTAAAACGAATTTATTCGACACTTCTAATACTTAATTGTAACTCGAACAATTATATTCTCAAACTCTTATTATGGATTTAACTTCAGTAGGAAAAATGCAGCCTTCTTAGTTGAGCGCTCACTCCTAACTGGCTAATCTCTGGTTGTTGTTTTCGCCGGTTCATTATATATCCTTTGTCCCTCGCATTCCGTCTCTCTCTCGCACATATGCTTTAGACGTTTACGCTTCTCATATCGGCTCGTCTCACCTAGCTAAGCACTCTGACTGCAGCATACTGTCGCAGCATGCTGCCGCAGCGCGAATCAGCCTCTGCCGCTCATTCCCACCGAGTCGCGCACACGAATATTGCTAGCTATACTATGTCCGGACGGAAATTGCGAGAGCGAAATATTATTTGACAAAATACAATTATAACACAATGAAACGTCACGTAACAGACAGGAGGTAAGCAGAGGTTGGTTAAAGGGATAGCGCCTTTATTATGTGTGGTGTGTTTAGGTAGATAACTTAGTTTCTTACCTTGTTAGGACTAGGCTTTAGAAGAGCTTTTATGAAACAGTCTCAGGTGTTTGCACTTGATTAAGATTTACTGTTGAAAAGACAAGTTTATAATGCTTAGCAGAGTATAATTCCGGTTCTGAGTAGTCGGGTAACGAAACTTAGAAATAATACAATAACTAAATTACAGAATTACTGAGTTACTACTCTTTTACTGAGTGAGTGAGTGAGAATCAGTATAAGTATGAGTAATGGCGGATCCTGATCCAGTCTTTTTATACCATAGGCTGATGTGCCCCTTCCCTTGTTTTTTGCTAAATTAATATGCGGTTAGTAATATTCGCGGAAACATTATGGAGAACATGTTTAGCCTAATCTATCTCGCTAGATAGATTTACAAATCTTCCCGGGAGAGTTGACAATTGGTATGATAGAAAGTTAAATTACCGATACCCGATTAGTTACCATAAACCGTCATGTGTGTTCTCGTAACACTTGATTAGTTATCATGGTTCGACACGTGCGCTCTCTTAGTATCGACGTGACATTGCAATCAGTAGAATAAAAGTCTATTAATAGGAATATCTATAGCAGTTTTAAGATTTAGTTTAATTTAATATTATGAAATATTTTACTTAATCTATTGTGTTGATTACATTCGTAAATAGTTTGTATAAATCTGGAAATCAAACTAATTTCTAATATTGACAAAAACTTTTACAATATTTATAGAATAAATAACACATTTAATCATAATCTATTTTTTAATTTCTTTAGAAATATATACATTTCCAACGTATCAATGAAATTAATGATTTAACAACATAATTTTATTTTTCTTTTTTATTAAATTTAACAATTTTTGTATTTAAATTTTATTGAGTAAAAAAATCTTCTATTTATCATATATAAAATTTGATAATTGAAAGACTGTGTGTTTTCTTCACAAACGTTTTGTCATTCACGTAAAAATATATCATACAACATAATTTTTGCATTATAATATTCTACACACAATTACTAAGCAAAATAATATAATATTCTTCGTATTTGTACAATTATTTACGATTTTAAAATGACTAAAAACCTCTATACACCAAAAATAACATTATTTTATTTTGTAATTAGAAGTAGAATATCATGGTGTATACATTATTATTAAAATTATTCAAAATTTAATATTTGAATTTTGCGTTTGAAAACGTTAGAATGATATTATAATAATAATAATTAAATTATTTATTACATTTGTACAATATTCTTATTACAGCGACGACCAACGAGTACTGAAAATCAAAACAGTTATTTAAAACCATTGTCTACAAACTTAATACTAATTTTGATTAATTACGATGGTTCTACCTTTAACAATATTTTTCATTGAAAATTCAAAAAGTGGAGAGTTTTATTCTTCTATTTCCTTTCTAACTATAAATATCTGTTCAAAACTGAACTATTTTTCAGTATAAAAATTGATGTCAATTGTCCAATTTTCTGCTTATTTAGTTGCAATTAAATCAAACCGACTAGAATTTATTACTATTTTTCTAAAAATCACTATGTTCACAAAACGTTTATAAAAATAACGTTTACAAAACTATATTGATTACGAAAAAGATGGAAATTAAGTGTTAGAGCGACTTTTTACCCTTTAAATGTGTTTTTAGAATATTTTTATTATAAATTATAAATTAGTAAAAGTTTAAAATTCGCTCATAAACTGTCGTATTACCTAAATTATTATTTTTCATTAATATGGGTGGTTTTACCCTTTAAAAATATTTTTCATTAAAAATGAAGAATAAACTTAACTTTATTTGTCTATTTTCATTGTGAACATAAATATTTCGTCATAATTCAATAATTTAAAAATTTTTCGTCTATTAAAAATAGGGGTTACAGCCCCTAATTGTCAATTCCACCGAACTTTATTACAATTTTTATAAGGATCATTATCCACTTGATTTGAATGAAAAATATTAATTAGAAAAAAAGATATTTGAAAAACACTGTTTTTGAGGGTGAACTTTTAGAAAGGGTTTCACGTCTAACATATATTTTTCCGTTGATAAAAACATGTATCTCGTATTTTTCAATGTACTACATCATATCCGAGAATCATCAAAATCGGTCAGTTCGTGTTGTGGTACTTTCCTGCTATTGTCTCTGATCTCATTGAAATAGTCAACAATCGCCCATATACAGGTATAAAAATACACGCGTTGCTAACAATAAGATAATATAACGTCTACAAGTAATTCTCGCATAATAAGTTTCTGAAAGTAAATAAATTTATTTTTTCGACTTTTTAATGGTTATTTGGTTTAAATTGTTGTAGTCATTTTTTTTAAGAGATTTCGAATTGCTCTATTTTCTAAATCTATTTACAGTTGTATCTAGTAAATTGATTATATATATTTATATTCAGTATATAGATACATTTTGGATATGGTAATATTATAGATTCATCTATCCAAAACTTTTACCCTGGAATTTATAGGATTTTTCTATATTTATACATGTATCATCATTCCTACCCACAATTCTGTAAATATATATTCTTAAAGAAAATATTCAGAATATTTTATTCAAAATAGTTTTGTTAATTATTCATTTTGAGTTGACAATATTATTATTCTTATAATTGGAAAAATGTGATATTTAATTCTGATAAGTTTAAAATATAAATTATTATTCATAATTATATAACTCTCTTCAAACAGTTTTATATAATTTATAATTTCAATAATGAATCATTAAAATATAATCAAAAATCAATAAAGATTTTCAAAAAAGGTTATTGAAAAATATTAACCATGTAAACTTCGCGCATGGGAATTAGTTTATTTTGAAGATCACAGAGAAATTTTGATTATTATTATTTGATTATTATTATAATAAATGATTGATTTGCACAACAGTGCTACTCTATTTTGGATATGCAGTAATCATAGCGTAAGAAATGTTTTTCAAATACAGTGTTTGTTTAATAATATGCAAAAAAAGGTTCAGGTGTCTAGAAAAAGAGAGAGATAGGGGATGGGAGAATGTCTGGCCAGAGTCCATAAATTGGCGCAGGGCAGGTGCTGTGAGAGGCTGCGCGGGTATCGCGCAGAATCGGCTGGCTGGAACCAATAGGCTAACAGCTTGGCTGATCGGCCGGGCACTGGAGGGGCAATTGCGCAAGCAAGACAGTCGCAAGGTTGGCTAGACCGATGGAGCAAGATGGTACGTACGTTAGTGACGTCAGGTGTAGATAGGTCGTCTGCTCACTTGCCTTAATGGTGATGCGAAATCGATAGCAAGGCTCAGTCAGCTCGTAAGCCTTGTTTCAAACGCGATATTGCTTAAGTTTTGCTGGAACAAAGTGCCTAGCTGAAATTATCACTTTGCATTTACTTTCTCGCATGTTTTATCTCAAACTGACCCCATACGTTAAGCAACTTCAAGCCTCCAATCATCAGTCTAGTTTTTAGGTAACTGGTTGCAACCTTTACTATTTGGATTTCTACTTTATCACTTTCGATTAATTTATTTATTTACATAATACTTTCCGGGTACTTATTTTCTCATAAAAAAAAATTATTGATTAGTTTTTGTTATCTTAATGCATTTAAATTTTAAATACTTACCAAAAGTTAGATAGAAAATAATTATGAATTGTAAAGAGAGAGAGAGAGAGAGAGGAAGGTGAAGGAATAATTGATTGACAGAGTTAACGACAAAGTCGCTTATGTGATACCTAGGCAGCACTAAGTTTGTTCTTTTGATTTACTGATACATTAGATAATTATACGAAATTTATAGGGAACTACGAAGTAAAATACACGTTGGTGAAAACTTAAGTTCTAGTTTAACTATGTTTGTACGAATTTTATATCCAGGATTTATTTATATATATTTATAAAATAATTGTGTATGGAAGACATACGCGTGTACCAACAAATGTAAATTACTTGTTTCCAATTACAATTGAGCTTTTTGTACCTGGTCTTTTTCGATACTGTATGTATATTAGATAGCAGTGCGCGAATTTGTAAAATACTTGTGATACTTGCATCGTTTATTTTATAAACTCCTTTATTCTCTTGCTCTCTCTCTCTCTCTCTCTCTCTCTCTCTCTCTCTCTCTCTCTCTTCCTTCATCAAGGGACATCGACGCGTGCGCGCACGCTCGGCGTCGATATCTCTATGAGCCTGAGTCGAGGTCAATGTAGGCTCGACAGTCGTGTAACCCCGATAAGCTTTTCTAAGTTGAGCCGGTTCCCTCCCCCTTGACATCTCTTTTTACCATCGATCGCTTGAATCGATAATCTGAATAAGTGTTTCTCATCGCTAAAATAGTTTTGAGTTTTATTAATTAGTTACGAAGATATCTTGTATGATTTATATGAACTTACTATTCCTAGAACCTTTTTCTATTATTCTGTGTATATTTAAAAATTTTTAAATTGTATTTGTGATGTAAATAATAATTTTTCTGAAATATTTTATCTTTTTCTATTGCACTTGATTATTAATAAAAAAAAGTATATTGATATATAACGCGCATATAAAAAGAGCAGTAAGAAATTGGTTTCAATCAAAAAGAACTCGAATTTGATTAATAACCAAAAGTACAATACTTTTAAATGTTTTATATTCCAGGAAAGAATCTACTAAATACAAACATCACATATATATCAGAAGAAAAATTATCCTGATAGCATTAAAGAGTAAAAGTAGTAACAATAGTGTGTGTAACATACACACACATACCAGCTTAGCAAGTCAGACACTGTGAGAGAGTGAGGAGCAAGAGAATACAAGAAGAAGAGGAATTAGACATGTAACCAGACTGATACTGTCTTAGGTATTTGAACGATAGCGCAGGGAAAATCGATGGCCATTAGCGCTCATGGACGGCCTGGCGTTTAGGACGCGAAATAGCCCCTCCCAAAAGACCTCACTCCGCTGGGGTGACTGCTGTCCCGTGAACTTCACGCCTTTGGTACGGCGCCCAGCGACCAGCATTGCTATATTTAATTCGCAGGGCTTCGTCAGAATGCTCAGGAGTTTCCGGACCATGATACCTTTGCCTGTCTGAGGTTGTCCACCACTCTTACGTGACTGCGCTCCTAAGGGCAACAGCAGGTACAAATAATTACTCTAAATACTACGTCCATCTCTTAAGGACAGAGGGAATATTATATTCGACTTTTTTGTGATAATGTAACATGTTTAACTAAAAAACAAGTGGATTTTTTTAAGCTGGTTCATTTGATAATTGACTAATCAAGATACTTCAATGTTATTATTGAACGGCCTCTTCGGCGTTATGAAATTACAATGAATAATTTACAAAACGGGCACGAGAGTAGGCTACGAGTTCCTAGAGACTATTTTGAAATTAATTATTTTCGTCGTAAATAATTATTGCATAGAAATTCTAATTTTGATTGTGACTACAAACCACCAATTTTAAACATTGACGGTTAACCGCTATGCTATTTGTAGAGATGGATCTAAAGTGTGGTTTACAATAAGATTTCAATTGGTACTTTGTAGTCATAGCTGAAAATAGAATTTTTTATGCAATAATTTCTTGTCGCAGAAAATTGGTTTTAAAATAATCTAGAAACCTGTTACCTACTCGCACCTCATACTATAAAGCAATATTGGTTTAATCAACAGATTTCACGCTGTTGAAATATGACAGAAGCGGATCCGTTGTAATTCAAGAAAATTCAGTATGTCAATTCTACAGACGTGCGTCTCTTAGATTGATTACTCCGTTAATAAGTTAAAAACACCTGATACATTGATTCTACAGTGCTTCTGTTGAATTGACTGTAATATTGAAGATTGAATCAACATAGAAAACGAAATCCTCGTTAAACTTTTTTTTTTCATTTTTTTCTTACTTCGTAATTACTAATTATTTAACGTAGAAATTCCATTGTTTTTTATGCTATAGGAATACTTTAGCTTAATATTTTGAGAGAATATAAAATATATTTTAGATTGTTGATACAGATGATTTATTTCGCATGAAAATGCTAACACATTGACACAAATTTTTCTCTCAATGATAATTCGTAACTCTTCACATTTTACATTATATTAGAGTTTGAAACTTTTTTATATATAGTAATATGAGATTTCCCATGTACTTGTAAGTAATAGTAGCCACTTAGTAGTGTATAACGGGAAACTAATTCAATTATAAATTCTTTATAGGTCACAATAATTTTATGCATTATACGAAATAAATATCGGTTAATAATATATGTGATAAGTATGTCAAATCATTAATGTTAATTTAATTTAAGAATTTGGATTATTCTAAATATTTTGATTTGTCATTCAAAAGCCATATTTCTATTTCGCTAGATTTAACATAAAAGAATGGATTAATTCAATACAAACTTTATTTTATTGCAGATATTACATATAGTGAGTTACATAGTATATTAAATTGAAATATTTTCAAAAATTATAAACATTTATATTTGGCATAATTTTATATGAAATAATACCATACTAATTGAAGATTGAAATTCTGGCACATCGATAATGAGAATAAGTAACATATTTCAATTCCTGATACAGAAATATCACAATATTAGTTTGTTTACTGATCAAAATATTAACTACTTTTCCAAATTATATGAACTCATTAGAAATGTTCATTATTACAATAGTGTTTCTGAATTTGTTTTCCAAAGCTAGAGATCTATGATACAAAAACATAGTAAGAAATATATTCTTTGATAATATTGCTCTAAATGATTTAAAATTATTCGAAAATATAAAGCTAACGAACAATGGCTTGCCGTATTCACTTTTACTTTGAAATCCTTTATTAACTATAAAACAATAATTTAATTCTAGTCGGTATCTTGCAGCCAACGTTTTTGCGGAATTGACTTTCGATGTTGTAGATCTGGCATTATTTTTGAAGTCTATGTTTCTCTTCCAATCGCATACATGAAAATTGACAAGGTAAGCCTAAAATTCTAATTATTTTAACATAATGAAACATATGGTGATGCCTTGACTTAAGAAGCTTCTGCAAAATTTTATAATATAGTGAGTGGTGATTTGTAGTTTCCTTTTCTAATACAGAGATACTTTTTTCAGTAAGCAATTAAGCAAATATAAAAAATGTGATCTTTTTTCTTAATAACAAATAGGTTATTCAAACTGCGTTATTTGCAAGAAACAATCACCAATCAAAAATGTTAAATTAAACATTAAAAACTTCATTTCAGAAGCAATAATAGTAATACAATTTTTTATGTGATCCACATTCACTTCAAAAGGTTTATTGGTCATATCACGGTTTGTTTAGTTTTTAATTTAGTTATAAACACAGCAAATGAAAATAGTTTATCAACAAATAGGAGATGATATAAAACTTTAACAAGTTCGTACCGACACACACATTCCAGAAGGTCGAGCATGAGATCGAATATAACGCCTTTGAAAATATCTAATCCCGGATTTTTTCTAAATATGGTGTCATTTTGCATGTCATGAGAAAAACGCAATAGTTGAATATTTACTTTGAAAGATATCTGACATTTTTTCTTATCCATATATTTTAGAAAGAAATTAAAAAAATTAAAACTTTCATGAAATCCTAATAAGGTGTGTAATTCTAAATGTTCTCCACTGAAATTAAATAAATTAAAATAAACAGTTAACTTTTTACCGCTTACACTTATATCGACGCCATTCTTTTGCAAATCTATTAGTATCTGTATAACTGGATTAAAGAACTTCGTATAAACAACAATTTTCTTAAATTGTATTTTTTTTTGAACTTTCTCAACTACTTCTCAAGATAATTCTGTCGGTCCCAACAGTTCAAATATTTAGTTTACAATCGTTAAAAAATGATACAGTAAGTTACAAATTTCTGAGTTGTAAATTAGACAGTTTACGCTGAGAGAAAACTGAAAATATAGCTTTATATATTATATACCTATACTAGAAACATATTGTCTAATTGACGGTAAGCAGGTGTCATTGCAGTTATCTAACAATCAATATAAACTATGTAATTTTTTATACTTTTTTTGTGATGCTATCAGCTTGTTTATTTCGAAATCATCATCATATAAGGATGGTGGTAGAACTATCACCATATAACCTTCCTGGTAAACCGACTTTATGTATTCTTTTACATCTTACTTTGAAAAATTGAGCTTTATATTTCTTTGTTTTCAATGTATTCGCAAGTGGAAAATCAAAATTTGGATGTTTCAAACAAATTTTTAAAACGCGTTTAATTGGTACACTGGCGATTGAGACTTTGATGAAAGTAGACTCTTTTTTCCAGCTACAGTTTTCGACTTCAAAATATTATCTACGTGTATAATTATTGGCTTAATATAAAACAACGATTTTAACAACTTTAATGCTTTATAATAAATTGAAAGACTTTTAAATATAAGTTCTATCAAACTCTACTCAAGATCATTGCAATTGAAAATTTTACTACGAGCGCTTGAACTTGAACTGAAATATAACCATATTAATAAGGCAAACAGGATTTAGCGTATAAAATACAAATAGCAAATAAAAACATAAGTATGTCAGTTTGTTTGGCAACTTCGGTTTCATTTTTTTTTCTGTTTTGTTTTTATCTTTCTTTCTAATATTTAACTACTCTAATGTGTTGACTGACTTTAAAACTATTCTTAAATCTATAGGTAAATGATTTTTAATTAATACAGACTCCATAGTATTTTCATGTGATTTATGTTCTTTTTAGGACTCAAGTAATGTACTGTTAAAATGAAATTTAGTATGATCAATTAACGCTGATCTATCACTAAAAGTTCTATCACAATCATCAGATTTGCAAGTTAAAACTGAAGAACCTTTATAGAAAACTCTTGAATGCTGTGTAAACATTTCATTAACATCAAAAATACTTTCATATAATGGATATTTTACCAAAGCCTGATTGATTGTAAATTCTTAAATGTGAATACAACTTAAAATAAAATATTTAATTCTTCGATATTATAACAATTCGATAATATTTGGAATTTAGTCAATGTAAAGCTAACGAACTTGAATAGATATGATATTTCAAGTCGTATCCGAGTTAAAATTTGGTATAGTCAGATTTACATCATTAAGAATTTCGTCGATATTTAGCGCTGAAAGATCCTAACCCCCAATCGGTAAATACCGCATTTTAACAAAAAACATAAATGTTCACTCTGTGACAGGTACTCAGCATACGATTTCTAAAATGATTTGAAGCAGGAATCTATAGCTTGGAACAGAATAGATATCTTGTACTTATTATTATCGATGATGAAATAAACTAAGTCAATTTGTCATCTTTGCAATCAGATACAGTTGTAATCTGATTTTTCTATTGATATAAAAAATTTGTCTTTTTACGTTTTCTCAATATCATCATACATCTGTAATTTTATTACTTTTTTAATTATAATGTTTAGCGTTTATTATAATGTTTACGTATATGTATAAAAATTTGCCTGATGAAATATTTAATGATGCATATTAAAAAAATTTAATATTAGTAACAATCCCTTCAAAACTTTCCATATATGACAGTTTTCAATACTTTCATATTTCTTGAGATATTCTTGCAATCAAGACTAACATAATAAACAGTAACAGTTATTCAACATGAATGTTTTAATCTGAAAGAAAAACAATTTGTTGATTAAAAACTATAGCGAGGCAGATCAATATTGAAAGAAACCAATGTACCACTAATGAAATGTTATTGTCCTAATAGCTATTTCAAAATGTTGCACAAGTCTTATTTTGGATTAGATCTTCTTTCATATACGTCTTTCATATAAAAAATCATGGAAGTTGTCAATAGCTTTTGAAAGCTTACATAATATACGAGTACTCAGCGAAAAATTAATATCTTTCAGTTCATAGACTTTAGGGCATTTTAATATCTTCCAAACTTCAAAAGCTTTTTTTTAGATTCATTATTTCGATGTCTATAAAGATATATTATATTTCAATGATCTTTTGCTGTAACCCAAGGTTCTTCATTGGTTAAATGCCAATCTATACTAGCTTACACCTCTGCAGATGGAGTATCATCAACATGATCATCAATTTCATTATCTACCGATGTTGGATCATCAGAGGAAGATTTCTACACTCTTTTAGGTATGCACTTCAAATTGTATGCAATAATTTTCCAGCAGCCTTTTGTGCTTGACCATTCGAGACTATAGAATAGTTATGTACTTACTTCGATAAGTAAAATATTATAGATATAATTACTAGGTTTTTCGTAAATAATGTTGATTTAATGATAACAATGTTAATTGATTTAACGAAAATTATGTTGAGACAATATAGGAGCTATCCATTCGATGATAAAAATCATTGCGTCAACTTCAATGTAACATTTGTTTATGTTATGGTACGTGTTATATCTCAATACTATAATCCGCTGTTATCCTAACTAGTCCGGGCGAAATTGGCGCATTCGTCGAAGATCATTTAGAGTGGAATTTTTTTGCATATTCGCGTTCTTTAGACTCTTCTGAATAATAAACCTCAGTTTGTCGGCGGCTAACCTGGTCAGTAATTGTTTAAACTAACTTTTTTTAAACAAATGATTAATACTTGTTTTTCCGCTCTGAAAAAAATATTTTTCAATTAATTGAACATTTTGGAACAAAAAAAGTTCTTATTCGTTTCCGCCTAAAGTTGATAGTTTTCGTGTAAAAAATTATTGAAACTCGAAAAAATGCCAATTTTGTGATTTTCGAAGCCTTTAATCAGCGTGAAAAACTACGAATTTCGAATGGCAAATGAACGATATATAAACTTACAATCTTCATCTACAATGTTAAAAAAAAAAATCGAAAAGTCAACGGCAAACCCCATTTTTAGCAAGAAACACTTCGCGTCTGAGCGCGTAATCAACTCAACCGACCGCTTCTCTGCACTGTCGCGTCGCAATAGAAGGTAGTTTAATTAATTAATTGATATGTTAACGAATAAGTGGATTCCATTCACTACAATTCAATTTTATTAAAAAAATTGTATTAAATTCTTACATAAACAATGAAAATTATATATTTTTACACTCGTCTATGTTACATTTACATAAAGGTATACATTGTACATTATTTTTTCTACAACTACAAGACTTAGTGCCACACGTTTTCAGACATTTGCAAGGTTTAACTAAATTTTCTGGTAACGCAGCTTTTGTTATAAATAATGGTAAGTACATACCATCTTCTTCTTTGTATCCATAATCAATAAAATTTAATACTGTGTATTGAGGCCAAATTGCATTTTTCCAAATATAAGTTTGTAAATCAGCTCGTAAAATATGTAAATATAAAGCATTTGATGTACAAGGAATATTTGAGAGATCGATGTTTATTCCACAGTTTTGCGAAATAATAATTGCTCGAGCTTCATCTGCGGATTCGCTTTTTTTATTAATAAGTTTTAGGTAAAATTGCTCTAATGCTTTGTAGTCCGAAGTGGTTAACGGAGATCCACAGCCTAGAGGAACGAGAGCTCTTTGAAATTTTTTATCAGGGATTAATAAATCCATTGCCTTTTTTTTTGTACCAATCTTACTGGTGCTATCACAACCTGTAAAGGCATGTAAGGCAGGCAAAAGTGCAGATATACAATTGTTCAATGAATAAGCTGCCATATGACAAGCTAATAGTTTTTGTTGTTGATTGATTACTTTGATCCACAAACCCGAACAATCCAGGGCTTGAAATATAGGCCAAAAATAAATTCCTATAATAAAAATGTCTGTATCTACAGTGTTAATAATTATTTCTGTTTTAGGATTAAAATTATTTATTGCATGAGAAAAAATTTTAGTATCGGCTTCTAAATGATTACTGCATAATTCCATGATTTCTACAATGCTATCATTTTTAATTTCGTAACATTTTTCGAAATCATCAAAACTTCCTGCAATAATTAACTGCTGGTTATTGTTCAAG